GAGAGAGAGAGAGAGAGAGAGAGAGAGAGAGAGAGAGAGAGAGAGAGAGAGAGAGAGAGAGAGAGAGAGAGAGAGAGAGAGAGAGAGAGAGAGAGAGAGAGAGAGAGAGAGAGAGAATCGTCGATTGCGGGCGCCCGTGGACAAATCGCATATTGCCGTGGCTGAATAACATTACACGATCAGAGACAGAGCGAGGAAAGTAGCGATTATATTCATAATCGATAGGTTGTTGAGTTGATCCTCCGTCGCTATTGTGACATGCACTCTCGCAGACATCTACAGACGAGGCAGGAAGGATCCTTTTGAAACGGGACGGTATTAATAAATCGTAAAATCGATTCGCGCCGCTGCCAACCGCCGGCCGGTGCCGGCCGGATCTCTCTCGACCCTCTTCTCTGGAGGATTCTTTAATATCCTTATAATTTCCATCCTATGAAATAGCGAGCCGCCGGCCGCTTCTAGGACAATGTATACGCCGGCCGTGCTCGGTCATTGACTCGGAAGAATATTCAATAAAACATCGGGAGAGTCGCGCGGTGTTCGCTTCCCGCGGTGGAAAAGTGCTCGGGATTTTTGCGACTTGCGTTAGACACAACTTGCGGGACGATTGCAGTTGAGAGAAACACCTTGCGAACTGGCGAACTTGCCTGCGAGTGAAATTTCGCTCGGAGGGGCCGCCGAGTTTCACACTCGAATTTCCATCACTGGAAAAAAGTATTCTACGTATTTGTTAAGTGATTTTTCTCATAGTCTCGTATTTTAAGCGAAGTCTTTTACAGAAAGAGGATTCCTCTTTCGATTCATCAAGCGATCAAACTATTTTCTTCTCTTATTTCAAGAGGATTTCCTCTTATATCAATTAATTTTCCTCTTATATGAAGAGGAATATGTTGATTTGAATGTCGGCTTCTTTTCTTCTTCGTAAGTCATCCACCTGCCTTCAGACATGAACGAAGAAATAAAGAGCATATAAAAATATCCTCATGGGCCAGAATATTTGGAATATACCTTCTCAAAAAAGGAATGTGTGTGTTATTGCTGTAACATGTAACATGTAACATGTAACAAAGATAATTTACCCATATTTGCTCAAATATAATTCATATTGGAAATTTATCTGTTGTGACAATCTTATTTCATTCTTGTCTACTTATTGTAGATCTGGAGCCAGAAGTACATCTATATATTATATACACGTATTATACACTTTTCGCTATACATTATAATAACTTTTTTAAATTAACTAGTATAACCAGTAAGAATAAATAATAATCCTCTTGAAAAAAGGTTAAACAATCTTATATAATATAAGAGGAGATTTATATTAAAATCAATAAGATTTTACTATAAAGATACATATAACATATAATCCCTCCAACTTTTTAAGAATAATGTGTTTATAATTTCCTCTTAATCTCAGAGGAATCCTCTTCAGGAAGTCATATACGTATAAGAATAAGATCCTCTAAAATTTAGACGATTCCGCTTGTTCTGAAATTACTTTTGTTTTGGGTGATTTGACTTTCCACCCGGCGCCGCGGTGAACTACCCATTTCGAATAGTCGAGTGAACGTCGTTCTCATTCAACATTCACAAGAGTGAATTTGTGGCGCGGCTCATTTTTCCATGGATTAAAAATTAACTGCTCACTCGGATCGGATATAACCAGATCCGCGTGAGTTGCGCTCCACGGGGGGAGGGAGGGAGGGAGGGGGGAGCTAGTTCACCCTAATCGATATTCATTCGTGCGAAGTAAGAATCCAGTCTAGGCTTGAGTGAAACACGTTCATTCGTATGAGGCAAAAATCCATTTGAAGTTTCGAAGCGAGACATTCTCATCCTTGCGACTTCGAGTAGCGGTATACTCACTTCGTCGAGTGAGTTTTCACTCGCTTCGAGTGAGATTTCACTCCGTGAAATTTAGAGAGCAGTTTTACACTCGTATCGTCGGTGCTACTTCTTCTCGTTAGAGCGAAGCAGAAAAGCAGCGTGACAATGATTCCAGTACCAACGAAAACAAAAACGTTTCTCTCGTCGCAGTGCAGAGCGTAGCGTTGCGAGAAGTTTCGAGAGAGACCCAATCGGGCAAAGATCCAAATGTCAATGAATTACCCGTTTGCGAGGGCGCGCACAAGTGTCTCAAGAGTGAAAGAAGATATTATTTTGATTGAAGATATTATTCATCTCTACGATCCCATCTCTCCTGTATTCTGGAACTAATTGTCCGGTCGCTACATTGACTTCTCATTGTGGACACCCGGTATACGCGTGAAGGGAGCAGAGGCGCGCGCGCGTGCGAATAAAGTCGAGGGGTTGCGGGCACGCGTGCGGTGGCGGGACAAAGAGAGGGCGACAGGGAAAGGGCTGATAATGACGAGTCAAGAAGACCCTCAGCTCCCGAGAGGAGAGGGCGCGAGGCTAAGAAACAAAAGATAAAATCGTATCCTGATGAGCTGAATTATTATTATCGTTAGAGTCTCTTGTCGCCGTCGCACGTCATCGAGGCGATGACTCGCCGAGTCACCAGGGATACGTCCTACGTATACGTTGTCAAACGTGCACGAGAGGCAGAAAAATTCAAGCCCCGAATACAGATTCCTCCGCGGGTCCGCCCCTGAAGGAGAGAGACAGTCGCGAGGAGAGCCCTGAGAGAGAGAGAGAGAGAGAGAGAGAGAGAGAGAGAGAGAGCGACGGAGAAGCGGCTATCAGGCTTGGAAACGGGGAGGGAATTATATCAGAACTAGAAGTGGCGGAGCAGGAGGATGGGAGGGCATCCGGGTGGGGAGCGAGAGGGGAAATAGAGAGAGAGAGAGAGAGAGAGAGAGAGAGAGAGAGAGAGGGAGCTATAGCCGCGTATCGATCGGCCAGTAGAAAATTACCCCCTAGAAGGAGACCTCGCAGTGTACGAGACTGACTACGTACGAGTCGGTGGTGCTCTTGTGATGCTCGCGACCCACGCGGATCCCTGGCACGCTCTCGTTCTCCGTTGTCACGCACGCACGCACGCACGCACGCACGCACGCACGCACGCACGCACGCACGCACGCACGCACGCACGCACGCACGCACGCCACGCACGCACGCCCACGCACGCACGCACGCACGCACGCACGCAACGCACGCACGCACGCACGCCACGGCACGCACGCACGCACGCACGCACGCCACGCACGCACGCACGCACGCACGCCACGCACGGCCACGCACGCACGCCACGCACGCAACGCACGCACGCACGCACCGCACGCCACGCACGCACGCACGCACGGCACGCACGCACGCACCGCCACGCACGCACGCACGCCACGCACGCCACGCCACGCACGCACGCCACGCACGCACGCACGCCACGCCCACCCCCCCCACGCACGCCACGCCCACGCCACGCACGCACGCACGCACGCCACGCACGCCACGCACGCACGCCACGCACGCACGCCACGCACGCACGCACGCACGCACGCACGCACGCACGCCACGCACGCCCACGCACGCACGCACGCACGCACGCACGCACGCACGCAACGCACGCACGCAAGCAAGCAAGCAAGCAAGCAAGCAAGCAAGCAAGCAAGCAAGCAAGCAAGCAAGCAAGCAAGCAAGCAAGCAAGCAAGCAAGCAAGCAAGCAAGCAAGCGATCACATACACACGCACCCCGTACTCGCTGCTCGTCGTGTTCCTCGTTCCTCTCATCGACGCGACCGTCGTTCACGTCGTGAGCGACGTCGGTGCGAACGAGCAGGCAAAGAGAGAGAGATCGTTTTAGGGGGTGCATCCGGTTTGCCAGTTGCTGGGGCTCTCCGTGTTCGCAGCCAGAAGTGAGAGGGCCGACCGATCACGCGCATCCCCTTGTATTCGTGATTATTTAGCCGCTCTTCTCCTCCGCCTCGCGACAGAGAAGCCGTGACGCGACGAGTCGCGTCATCCCCGAAGAGCGAGACAACGAGATGCGATCGTTCGTCGGCAACCCGTCCTCGGCACATTCGCGCACGACGGGGATGATGCGGTGCTGCTGGATGCTGCCGACTGGCGATCGATTCTCTCTCTCTCTCTCTCTCTCTCTCTCTCTCTCTCTCTCTCTCTCCCCCCTCCCTCCCTCCCTCCCTCCCTCCCTCCCTCCCATCCCGCCTTCCTTTTTTCTCACGAAGCGCCCGGGACCGCGTTATCGACCGCGATCCCCAGTCGAATTCGACGACGCGATAATATCCTCCACCTCCGTTACTCTTCGCCGACAATTATCTCTCTTGGCCGCTTCCTCAGCGATAGTGTTTCCTATCGTAGCTTGACGTGGTAAAGCACCATCGTTATCGCAGTCGCCGGAACTCGGCGCGGAACTCGAGTAGGCGTAGAATGGCAACTGCTGCGACGCGCACTCGCGATGACTCCGCCGACTCCGCGGAGTCGCATCACCCTCGTAGATTCCGCAGAGCCCTTCTGTCGTTGTAACGTATCAATCGATCGATATACGGGGCCGTCGTCGGCGTCGGTCGCCCCGTTTGAAGAGAGCTCCTCGTCGCCCGCCCGCCCGCCCGCGCGCGCGCGCCGCCTCGATTCACAATCAGTCAGTCTTGACATTTCGGCGGCCGATGGCCGATGGCGTAGCGCTGCGCCCGCGCCGTCTTTCTCATCTCTTCGTTCAGATTTAGTTCGCTATTAATGTTCCTTTTCCGCTTAGATCGGAATTGATTGTCTTCTTCAGGTCGGCTTCAACCGGCGCGGGCGCAAAGCCGCCAATTGTCGCGGCGAATAATCAGCGCTATACTTATAGCGTCGCTATAGCGTTCGTAGCTATCGGTGATCTCCATGCATCTCTTCTCGTGAGCGCTCTCGAGCCTCGTTTTCGGAGTGCCCGACTCGCCTCCCCTTCCTCGGCCTCGCACGCGATCGGCTCGCAATCAAATCGTCGACCTTCTTATATATATATATATATATATATATATATATATATATATATAGCGCCCACAGCGATCATTACGCTCGTAGCTGGGCTAGCCTCCGCGCGGTGGTGGTCATTAGCGCCGTGGGACCCAGGCCGCGCGTTAATTAGTGTGCGCGCGCGCCTTACCTACCGGTTGCATCCCGATGTTACGTCGCACGAGCGACGGACGAGCACGGACGGCACTCCAGGGCGCGCCGAGAATCTCGTCGTGTGCGCCGCGCCGCCGCGCGCCGTGCTTGTCCTCGTTACCGGAATTCGTTTGCGCCTGTTTCGAGGACGATGACAGAGGGAAAGAGAACACATACACACACACATACACACATAAAGAGAGAGGGAGTCGGCTCGTTAACAGAAACCTCAATTGCGCGAGGCTCGGCCATTCAGGGGAGGAGGTCTGTCGTCGATCGGCGGCTCCTCGCGCAGGTCACGACGAAAAGCCTCGCAGTCGCCGCGGCGCGGCGTGGCTCTTACCTTTGACTCTGGGATACGCTGGGATGAGCAATTAATTACCGCAGATTCCGGCGACCTTTGCGACACCGTCGACGGGAACTCGCGTCGGATCAATTATGGACTCCATGCTTGCATGTAGAGCGCTTCCTCTCCTCGCCGTTTCTTCTATCTTCCCTGAGCTCGCGTGCGCGTTCGGGGATTCACCAGAGAGACCGCGTCGTCGCTTCTTCCGCGAGAGGCATCTGTCGGTCATTCACGGTAATATATTTAATATGTTATTTGCATTTGATCGCGTCGCGACACACGCGATGGCGGATCGATCGATCGCGGATTCCGAGACTGTCGCTCGCGAAATTCAGTCGTTGTCGCTTATTTTCCATCCAGGCGCTCACCATCGATGGAGCCCAGCCTCGCTCGCTATATCCTCGCGAGCACGTCAGTTATATATACGTCAGATCTCGCGACCGTCTGATAGAGAACTCTTTTATTATTCCATTAATCGATCGGTGCGCGCCGCTCGCCTCACATTAATAAGACAACGTCGCCGCTCTCGCTCTCATTAAGTCGAAGTGACTTTCGTTAAATTCTGATTATTAATTCATTCGGCGCGATCGGCGATGATTATTAATTTTAAGCCGGCGGACGTCGCCGACGTGGAGAACAGGAGAGACGGTATGCGTCGTGTTGTCGGGACGAGTTGTCGGGATAGCGCGCGAAGCGGATTCTCTCGCGCTCTCCGTTGACTCGAAATTGACCGTTGACCGCCCAGTTCCGCTCTGCCAATGCGGCGGCTCTGCAAAATCGTCAACTTTTTGCTCATTATTGGTCGACAAATTAGTAGTAGTAGTTGGTTGGAAGTTCCGCCGGTTAATCGGTTTAGTCGGAGCTCGCTCCGAAAGTCATCCTCTCGGTCGCCTGACACTTTGGCGATCGATGGCCGATGGCCGATGGCGTAACCGAACCGTGCTCTTCGCGTCGGCTCTTTGCGGATTAAACCCGCCGGCGTAATTAACGTACCCCCGCGTCCATGCTTCATGACGTGCTTCAACACGCACAGTTCCTCCTCTCTCGTACGTTCCGTTCGACGAAAGTTGGAAGAAACATGTGACAACCTTGGAACGGACTCTCGGCTTCGACTTTCAGCGAGAGACACGCGAATCGGGCATCGGGAGAGAGAGAGAGAGAGAGAGAGAGAGAGAGAGAGAGAGAGAGAGGAGAGAGAGAGAGAGAGAGGAGAGAGAGAGAGAGAGAGAGAGAGAGAGAGAGAGAGAGAGAGAGAGAGAAGAGAGAGGAGAGAGAGAGAGAGAGAGAGAGAGAGAGAGAGAGAGAGAGAGAGAGAGAGAGAGAGAGAGAGAGAGAGAGAGAGAGAGAGAGAGAGAGAGAGAGGAGAGAGAGAGAGAGAGAGAGAGAGAGAGAGAGAGAGAGAGAGAGAGAGAGAGAGAGAGAGAGAGAGAGAGAGAGAGAGAGAGAGAGAGAGAAGAGAGAGAGAGGAGAGAGAGAGAGAGAGAGAGAGAGAGAGAGAGAGAGAGAGAGAGAGAGGAGAGAAGAGAGAGAGAGAGAGAGAGAGAGAGAGAGAGAGAGAGAGAGAGAGAGAGAGAGAGAGAGAGAGAGAGAGAGAGAGAGAGAGAGAGAGAGAGAGAGAGAGAGTGTGAGAGAGAGTGTGAGAGAGAGTGTGAGAGAGAGTGTGAGAGAGAGTGTGAGAGAGAGTGTGAGAGAGAGGGTGGAGAGAGAGTGGTGGAGAGAGTGTGAGAGAGAGTGTGAGAGAGGAGTGTGAGAGAGAGTGTGAGAGAGAGTGTGAGAGAGAGTGTGAGAGAGAGTGTGAGAGAGAGTGTGAGAGAGAGTGTGAGAAGAGAGGTGAGAGAGAGAGTGTGAGAGAGAGTGGTGAGAGAGAGTGTGAGAGAGAGTGTGAGAGAGAGTGTGAGAGGAGTGGTGAGAGAGAGTGGTGAGAGAGAGTGTGAGAGAGAGTGTGAGAGAGAGTGTGAGAGAGAGTGTGAGAGAGAGTGTGAGAGAGAGTGTGAGAGAGAGTTGTGAGAGAGGAGTGTGGAGAGAGAGTGTGAGAGAGAGGTGGTGGAGAGAGGAGTGTGAGAGAGAGTGTGAGAGAGAGTGTGAGAGAGAGTGGTGAGGAGAGAGATGTGAGAGAGAGTGTGAGAGAGAGTGTGAGAGAGAGTGTGAGAGAGAGTGTGAGAGAGAGTGTGAGAGAGAGTGGGAGAGAGAGTGGGAGAGAGAGTGTGAGAGAGAGTGTGAGAGAGAGTGTGAGAGAGATGTGAGAGGAGTGTGAAGAGAGAGAGTGTGAGAGAGAGTGTGAGAGAGAGTGTGAGAGAGAGTGTGAGAGAGAGTGTGAGGAGAGAGTGTGAGAGAGAGTGTGAGAGAGAGTGTGAGAGAGAGTGTGAGAGAGAGTGTGAGAGAGAGTGTGAGAGAGAGTGTGAGAGAGAAGATGTGAGAGAGAGTGGTGAGAGAGAGTGTTGTGAGAGAGAGAGTGGTGAGAGAGAGTGTGAGAGAGAGTGTGAGAGAGAGTGTGAGAGAGAGTGTGAGAGAGAGTGTGAGAGAGAGTGTGGAGAGAGAGTGTGAGAGAGAGTGTGGAGAAGAGTGTGAGAGAGAGTGTGAGAGAGAGTGTGAGAGAGAGTGGTGAGAGAGAGTGTGAGAGAGAGTGTGAGAGAGAGTGTGAGAGAGAGTGTGAGAGAGAGTGGTGAGAGAGAGGTGTGAGAGAGAGTGTGAGAGAGAGTGTGAGAGAGAGTGTGTGAGTAGAGAGTGTGAGAGAGAGAGTGTGAGAGAGAGTGTGTGAGAGAGAGTGTGAGCAGAGAGTGGGTGAGAGAGAGTGTGAGAGAGAGTGTGAGAGAGAGTGTGAGAGAGAGTGTGAGAGAGAGTGTGAGAGAGAGTGTGAGAGAGAGTGTGGAGAGAGGGTGTGGGAGAGTGTGGGAGAGTGTGGGAGAGAGGGAGAGAGTGTGAGAGAGAGAGTGAGAGAGAGAGAGAGAGAGAGAGAGAGAGAGAGGAGTCTAACAAACGTGAAGAAATCCAACGGCAAAAGGCCGGTTGTTCCAACTTTTTGGTAAGTTAACTCATAGTTGAATCATATATATATATATTTATTTATTATCGTTTGTCTTTGTTTTTCCTTCAACTTGGACAAAGACAGACGTATGATTTGGCTTGCCGGGTGGTTGGAACAACCGGCCCAAAATTTGCACAATCTCGCGAATCTTCGCAGACTCGTCCTGCGCGCGGATCATCTGCTTTCGCGCTTCTCACAGAGCCAGAGAATTCGCGTTTTGCTCGTCGCGCACTCTGGAGGCTCGCGCGAGCTAGAACCACCCCCCGATCGATGTTCACGTCGGCCGCCACTAATAAGAGAGAGAGTACGCATTATTTGCTCTCATTAGAGCCTGTTAAGAGAGGTCATCGCGTCGCATACGTCGCGATATGGCTTCGTGTGTATGAGATCACAGGCGCGGGCGCGGGCGCGGGCGCGCACGCGAAAGCGTACTCGCTGCGCACGCTAGCAGCCGCACGCGGAGCGATGTAGAGCCGGCCGAGTTACATCAGAGCGGCCGAGTCTCACGATGCTAGAAAACACGGGCGATCGATAACATTGAAAATCATCCGTTTGCCTTGGCGAACGGCCAGCCGTGCTGCCGCGCTGGTCGTTCGAGTCGCGCACGACGCGATATCATAAATCCGGCATCCGCGGCGTCCTCCTGTTTACCGGGAATCGCTCTTCTTCGCTCATTTTCCTTCCCGGCGCGCGTACTTCTCTCCCCACTTGCGCTCGTTTTCTCAGCCGATCTAACATTTTTATTTTATCTCTCGCGTTTCTCTGTTTGCGCTTGTTGCAGTTGCGGGGCGAGATTCGATCCAGCGTGATCCAGCCAAGCGGTGAGACAGCACGACAGCACGACACCATGGCGTTCGCCGGGCTCAAGAAGCAGATCAACAAGGCGAATCAGGTAAGGCTGACCATCCAGCTGACCGTGGATCTCCACTTGGGTCCCACATGCTGGTCGCGCGATCGCAACCAATCGCCACTCGGAAGATGTTCGCGGAGGAAAAACGCTTCGATTGCTCGGATCGGACGCGATTCTCAGCAGAATTTCGCTCGCAGGAGTCAGGACCTTTGCCTTCGACCAAAACACGGTCGATTCATTTACCTAGTCACGTTCGTTCAAGCCATCTTTCTCCTCCGTCTTGTAGTCTCTGAATTCTTCCAAGTAAAGTTGTTGGCGAGCTGGTGACACAGCCGACGAAGGAAGCTTCGAGTGCGATTCCTTCGGGCGACTGTTCGTACCCAGCACTAATTCTTCCACTCTGGAATGTCGTGCGAATATTTTTATTCAAAGTTGAAGAGTGAGCCGAGCAAAAATTAGGGCAAAAAAGTTAGGGCCATCCTTGCGAAGCATAAGGCCCCGATAAGGCCGAAAGTAGGATGCCTACTTAAAAAGTAGATCCCTCATTATTACCACATCAGGCTGCGAGATGGATCTTTTAGGGACACCTTAGTTAGATTTCACGAAATAATAAGCTTTTGACAAGGAAAGCTCAGAGAAGAGCCTCAGGATTTTTTAGGGATGCCTTAGATTTTACGAAATAACGAAATAATTTGACATGGAAAACTGAAGTGAGCGGCCTTTTAAGATGCCTTTTAAGTATGCCTTAGATATACAAAATCAAGTTCTGCTATAGAAAATTAATAAGATCTGAAGCGTGCGATAAAAACGTACGTCATAGTTTAGTATTGCTTTAGTAGGTAGGTACGCTCTCTATCTGATTCTTTTAAAGATTTTTTAATTATACCACAATTAAAGACAAATTTTATTAATTTTATCAGTTGCCATATTCATTAGTCTCTTCCGAGGATTTACTATCCGAGGATAGTATTGCCTTCGTTTTGCAAAATGCAGCAAACTTTGGTACGCAAAACAGCAGCGGGATTTGTATGTGAGTAAAGAGTGCTGTATTTTATTAAAGTAAAGTATGCTATATTTAAAAAAAAATTCTTGTTGTATACACTAACAAGATTACAAAGAAATTACAGTCTGAATTTATTTCGTGGAATTAAAACAGAAGGAAGATATTTTTATTCAAGCGATAATAATAATAATATTTTAAAAAATATCTCCTTATAAGGCCCCATTAATATTAATAGATATTAACTTATAATACTGCCTTATAAGAACCCGTTCAACCATTTGCTTGCTACACATCTTGTAGGGTCTTTGTCCTCTTTCTATTTCTACCAGGGCCCCCGATTAATGTTAGGGAAAAATAATCAGGCCGTTAAGATCAGGCCAGAGTCTTATTTCTCTATTCTCTACTTCGGGAAATTCGCGCGCGATATTCGGCGCGAACCAAGTCTGGAAGCAAATTCATTCTAATCGACTGAAACTGTTACTTTTAAATTTGAGCGAAACATTCGCTCATGCGATTCCGAATTTTTGCATACGTTCCCAGCGAATTCCCAGTGGAGCATTCTTTCGAGTGGGCCCCTTTCGAGCGAGAGATCTCGTCGCCTGACAGATTCAGAGAGCAGGTGCGAGATCTCTCTTCGCCTTCGCCTTCGCCTTCGCCTCCGTCGACGTCGACGTCGACGTCGCGATATCGCGATCGCGCGTGCTTATGTCTCTCCTGGCTGTGTCTACGCCTGTCGTGCGCCATCGATTCGATTACGCTTACGCGCGTAATCGAGCGCGAAAGGGAACACCGCGTCGCGTCGGCAAATGGATGCTGGATTCACGCGCGATTCACGCGATAGCTGCGAGCGAGTTCTGTTGTATCGTTGAAAGTTTAATCGACCGCATTACGACGGCGCTCGTATATTAGGCTGCATTATACGCCAATTACCGGCGATGCGTTACTACTTGGAGCGAATCCAGCCGCGGCGCGGGCGTCGCGAACTTTCGGCCGCGCCGCGCCGCGTCGCGCCGCGCCGCGGAATGCACGGCGCCCTAATGGAATTACACGCCGCCTAGATAGCGCCTAGATATTGTACACGCACGTCCGCCTAATGCGATCGGATTCTCTCCGGCGGGTCATCGGGCTCATGTTTCGCAATGATCGCTCGTTCTCCGTCGCGAGATTCGAGAGCGAACGCGCGAGCGCGAGTGGGTGGGTGAATTTCGTCGGCTCGGCGACGAGATTATGACGAAATTCTTTGCCGGCTAGATTTCTCTGAAATTCCGCTCCCGAAGTTCTGTTCGATCGCGTCATTACCCAGCTGCTCAGTTTATATTTTATTACATGAAATTAGAGATCAGTGTGTTTCGTCTATATAATAATAGGCGCTCGCGTGAAATATTATACTTACTTGGGCTGACGCGGACAACGGACTTTCGGAAAGTCCACTCGGTGAAGTATCATCGTGATAAAAATTGGAACCGGCAATGCAGCTGATAGCAGTTATCGCTGGACCAAAGCGTCCAACATACTCTGGTATCAGCGACCTATGTCGTCCTGCGGCATTTAATCTCAGGATGACGAGCAATGTTCCAGCGGTGCGCTCAGCGGCTGGCGAGAGTGGGCTGATTAAGCGAGCGATTGTTAATTGTTGAGGGAAACGCACTCGACGAATCGGCTGGACACACGCGCACATGGTGCGCGAAATGAGTCCGCGATAAACATGCGACTTAGTCGGTTTAGGACGCAGCCCCCCCCGATGGGGTTGAAGAAACATCCACCCTTCACACTATAATTGCTGCCATTTCTATTTTAGACAACTACAAACGAAAATTCCTTCACTACAAACGTCTACGCATTATGTGGCTTCGATTTAGTCGGTTTAGAACGCAGCCCCCCTGATAGGGTTGAAAATACAAACACCCCTATTACAAAAATTGCTGCCATTTCTATACTGGACAACTACAAACGAAAATTCTTTCACTACATATTTCTACAAACCTATTAGCGTCGATTAGGACCGGTTTCAAGTCAGTCCCCACGACGGGGCGGGAATAGCTACCCTTAGAACTTAAGGGGTTGTAACTTTTTTCCTGGTCAACTGCAAACGAAAATTCTGTCACTACATATTTCTACAAACGATTTGGCTTTGATTAGGTCAGGTTTTAAGTCAGCCCCCCATTTTGGGGGGCTGACCATTTTTTCAACCCCTCGTAACTCTTTTATTTTTTAACTACAAACGAAAAGTCTTTCACTACATATTTCTACAAACGATTTGGCGCAATTTTATTAAAAAAAAAATTTTTTTTTTTAAGTCGGGGGCTAACTTCACATAGGTCTCTAAGGGCTATACAGGATAGAAAGACAAGGGCTACTACAAGATGTCCTAACAAAATGGCCCTTCAACGGGTACTCATACTTTCATTATAAGGCAATATACTTTTATTATTGCTCGAGTGAAAATATTCCTTCTTTTCATTCCAAGAAATTTAGATTTTCTTTATTTCTTTAGTTCTTTATAACCTTGTTAGTATACAACAAGAATCTTTTATTTTAAAAGTATACTTCACAAGGAAATATGGGCATAGCATTCTTTACACATAAAAATCCTGCTGCTATTTTTATTGAAGTTTGCTGCATCTCAAAACGAAGACAATACTAGAGAAATCCTTGGAAGAGACCAATGAATATGGCAACTAATAAAACTAATAAAATTTATTTTTAATTGCGGTATAATTAAAAAATCTTCAAAAGAAACAGATAGAGAATGTACCTACTAAAACAATACCAAACTATGACAATTTTACACTCAACACGATTCATATCTTATTAATTTTCTATAACAAAACTTGATTTTGTATATCTGTAAAGCACCCTCTTAAAAGATCCTCCTAAGGCTCTCATCAGTTTTCCTTATCAAAGCCTTATTTTGTAAAATCTGAGGTATCCCTAAAAGATCCATCTTGGGGCTGATGTGGCATGTGTATACATATATATATATATATATAATGAAGCGCATCCCTTTTTAGGGCATCCTACTTTTCAACCTTATCCGGAGCCTTATGTTTCATGAGGATAGCCCTAACAATTTTTTGCTCGGGTTCGAACCGCGATTGTCGAACGTTGTCACGTTGCCCCGTTTCTCGCGACTTCCTCACACCGAATGTGAGCGTGGCGGAACGTGGACATCGTGCAGGCTTTAATAAGCTTCCTAACGAGTGCGCTTCCTATCAGCCGCCGCAATGGCGGTTCATGTTCTCATGGGCTTAATTGCCGCCGCCACCGCCGCCGCCGCCGCCGCCGCTGCCGCCGCCGCTCACCGGAGCCTGCTCGCCAAATGCCAAATGCCAAATGCGCGCGGCTCGAGTCGAGCGGCGAAAGTTCGCTCTCTGCGAGAAGTGCGAGCGACGCGCGCGAGCGTGGGCCAACAATGCGAATTGTTGCTCGCGGGAGCTCGCCCATTGTGTAGCGGCCGATTTTATATCTGTAAGCTATCGATCAACCCCCGCCGCGCCGTCGGCTTCGCCACGAGCTCCGCGCCCCCCACCGAAAATTCGCGACGGCGACGACGATGGGTTTGACCTTTAGCACGTTGGACGTATGCCGCCCGCGACGTGAGCAGCGACGCCCGATACTACCGCGTCCCCATTGAATTACGTATAAGGTACTACGGTTAATTGCATTTGAAAAATCGATTGTACGGCCACATTGGGCCGCACTGGACAAAGCGGCACGAAAAATACACGACGCAACGTCGCGTTGCGTGCGACGACGTGATCTTCGACAATTGGATCGTCTGATTCGAGCTTTCCGCGCACTCTCACCGGACACCGGACCGGTGTCCGGTGAGACGTGTAAATCGTACTCAGCACACTTCCGGCTATCATTTCACTTCAAATGAAATATGCTACAGGGGTGACATTTCGCTCCCTTCGCTCTCCGCATATTCTCATTGTACGTAATACTGTACTAAATACTGTCGGAAACTTCCGTATCGTGTGTGTCGCCTGATATTCGCAAGCTTCCACGCTATGCGCGGGGAAATGCTGAGTTTGGC